CCAGGAGGACGTGGTAAGGCATCCCGCTTCTCTCATTACCCTTCTTTCCATGCATAGTTTGCATTTCCAGGGCAGGGGGCAAGACAAGAATGTGCAGCAAAGCAGAAAGTACAGTCCCCAAGAACAAGTGTATTACAGAATGTTACAGCTGAAGGGCCCTATGGCACATGTAATTCAAACCCCTCATTTTGTAGGTACAAAAAGGAGTCCAGAAAAGTGATTAATCCAAAGATAGACAGCTGATGGCTGGAACCAGAACCCAGGTCACCAGCTATTCCTCTCTGATCCTCCAACACATGACAGAACCTGTTATACAAAAAAGTGCATAGAATTAAGTTCCTGAACAAGCCCTCAACCCACCCCTACCGATCAAATGAAACTACCCATATTTCAATCTCATATTTTTTGAGTCCCTTTAAGTGACTAAGCTCAAATTTCTGATTCTTATCCAGAACTTAAAAGATAACCTGATGGCCTGAGTGGTCAGAATTTTAACTCTATTCTAGCATGTTTTAGCCTGAGAAGGGAGATCTTTGGGAAGCAGAAGTAAAATGTAAGTAAGTACCTACTCCAAACCAGGAATATTCTGGACCTGCACACGTGCACATTATGCTTATAACAATGCTGACTTTAAACTTGGCAGCTTTTGAAGCGTATGCTGGCAGAAAGGCAATAGGCTATCCATCCAGCAAGAGAGAAAAATTCAAGAATTAATGCAAAATAAGGAGGCTAGAGGGAGGGCAAATTCTTTTGAGTTCAGTCCAGAGGGAGGGGATGTACTACCTCCACTCAGAGCACACAGTGACATGCACTATATTAAAGGAGGGTACAACACAGGATACACGAACTCAGTCTCTGACATTCCCTGTTCATATGCAGAAGTCAGTTCTTGATTATCTCCCAGATGATTATCCATCTGGCCAGTGACCCACAATGTCTAAAGGCTTCCAGACAAAGCTGGTTAGAAAAAAACAATGGTCTAAAGTGCTCCCCACCTTCCCAGAAAACATGCTGGCCAGGGCCTTGTGCCTCAAGCAAAGGGAGTAACCAATGCATCTCCTAGTGGGCCTAGAGAATAGTCCTTTTGAAAACATGGGCTGTATGGCTGTGATATCACAGCTCTGCTCCATCACCTGATGCAAAACTGCCCCAGGACTGGAACTGGCAGAAGGTACTGAGCTTTTATATCAGGGGGCAACGTGGTGTGTCTGGAAAGTATAGCTGAATTCCAAAATAAAAGTATTTTGGAGATTGTATATTATTTTTATGTTATTCAAATCAAGTGTCAATCCCAGCAAGAATTATTCTTACACCCTCAGGTAGTTCATTTCCTCCAAGAAAAACTGACTCTCACAGTATTCCTGAAGGGATTAGGAAAATAGTAGAAGAGAAAATAGAATAGAATAGAAAAACCTTATAATAGAAAAAACAAAAAAACAAAAAAGGATCTGTGTAAAATATATAATTAGTAAAACAGCAAAATGAGAAAAAAACCACTGTTAAATGAAAAAAGATCTCTCTCATAAGGCTGAGATATAATGAAGGGAGAAAAAAAGGAAGAAAGGACAAATGAATGAAAGAAAAACTCAGAGAGGCAGGGTAAACGAAGGATTTAACTCATAGTCAAATGTTAGGTACCCAAAGAGCTAGAATAGGAAGGTGAACAAAAGCTCTTTCTGCCTGCTGGGTTCCTAAGAGTCTAAAATGAGGGATTAAAATGGCTTTCTTTCAACAGAAAACATTTTGTCATCTGATCTCTATCCGTGACATGGATAATAAGAAGTAACTTACAGCTGCACTCTTAAGCAGCAACAAATCCTACAATACTATGTCTCATTCACCTTAGGACAGCAAATCACTAATTGCTTATCAGGAAAAAAAACCTGTCTATAACCTTCATATACATTCTTATTTTATAAAACACACTGACTACAAGGCAGAAATGAGGCGAGAAGGGCTGAAGACGGAAAGGAAGCAAGCAGCAGCTCAGAGCCTGCAAACATGATGATCAGGGCGCCTGCACAGAGGCCTGCCTGTCCTCTCACTGTGCTCACATGGAAGTTCAGTAAGCCATCGGGCACCTGGAGCTAATGGGTCAAACAGAAGCATTTCATTTCTAAAAGGTGATACCCATTCACACTCTTAGCAATGGGAGTGATGCTCTTCACAATCCAATTTCTAGGACTTTGTTCTAATAAAATTACCAAAGATAGAGATACAAGGGCCGGGCACGGTGGCACACACCTATAATCCCAGCACTCGGGAAGGTCGACGTGGGTGGCTTGCCTGAGCTCACAAGTTCGAGACCAGCTCTAAGCTAGAGTGAGACCCTGTCTCTAAAAATAGCTGGACGGTGCCCGTAGCTCAGTGGGTAAGGCATCCACCACATATACCCAGGCTGGTGGGTTCGAACCCAGCCTGGCCCAGCTAAAACAACAATGACAACTGCAGCAACAACAAAAAAATACCCGGGTGTTGTGGCAGGTGCCTGCAGTCCCAGCTACTTGGGAGGCTGAGGCAAGAGAATTGTTTGGGCCCAGGAGTTGGAGGTTGCTGTGAACTATGACGCCACAACACTCTACTGAGACTCTGTCTCAAAAAAAAAAAAAAAGAGAGATAGAGAAACACACAGGAAAGTTACCATGGCATCACAGGTAAATAACAATGGATCTGAAGCCAAAATTTCCAACAGTGTGGTAATGATAAAATAGAGACACAAGAAATCTATTTTCAAAGATTTAAAGACACAGAAAATTACTTGTCATACCACATTGGGGGAGGAAACCAAATAGGATCCTAAATTGTGTGTGTACATAAAAATTCTGTTTTGTTTACATATTAAACATATCATATTCATTTTTAAATACTGAAAGGAGGTCAGGCAAAGTGGCTCACGCCTGTAACCCTAGCACTCTGGAAAGCTGAAGCAGGTGGACTGCTTGAGCTCAGGAGTTTGAGAGACCAGCCTCAGCAAGAGCAAGACCCCATCTATACTTAAAATAGAAAAAACTAGCCGGATGTAGTGCCAGGTGCCTGTAGTCCCAGCAGCTCAGGAGGCTGACTGAAGCAAAAGGATTGCTCAAACTCAGGAGTCTGAGGCTGCCGTGAGCTATGATGCTATGGCACTCTACCCAGGGTGACAGAGTTAGACTGTGTTCTAGGTAGGGGAAAAATGGATAATTCTTAATCATCAGGCTCTTCTCTAATGAGTATAAGTTACTTTTATTAGTAAAAAAAAAAGATACTTATTTTAAAATATGTCTACCCTCAAATCTCTCATTTAAGATGGTAATTGTCAGTCTTAGTAAAAAGCTGTTAAAGTTCAAGACAGACTCATGAATAAAAAGGTTTAAGTGGGTGGGGCCTGTGGCTCAAAGGGGTAGGGCGCCAGCCCTATATGCTAGAGGTGGCAGGTTCAAACCCAGCCCCGGCCAAAAAATGCAAAAAAAAAAAAAAGGGTTTAAGTAACCCTTAACAGTAACTCTTTCCTGAAGAAGAGGAGAAATCTTGTGTGCCACAGTCTGGCTGTTGCTTCTGCCCTGCTGTTGGCTGGCAGGAAGCTCCCTCTTCCCACAGCAAGCACTGCAGTAACCCCTCTATAGTGTTTCTTGCCTCTTAACATGAAGAGAGGGAAAAACAAAGAAATAGCCCAACTCTCATGTTTCAAAGGAAAAAGTTTTTCTTGTAAAGCTATCAAAATGACTCAAAATCAGTTACGCCAATTTTGCCAATTTTGAAAACAAGCCACAAGTTATGTTGGGTAACCATCGTCACTTATTTCTCAATGAATATATTAATAAAAACAAATCTATGAGTGCCATCTTGTGGTAAGCCTGAATACTACCGCAACCAAGTACCAGACAGTCTTCCTCCTCCCATTTCCATGGCTTTCTTCCATCCCAGGCTCCATACCACACAGCTAGGAGCACAGGCCCTGTAATAACCTCCATACGTTGAACATTTGTACTATTTGTTTTCAAAGATTTATAACCCAGATATGTCTGAAGACAAATGGGAATGAAGGAGCAGAGGCACAAATGCAGGTTGGCACATGCATTGGTGATGGCCTGTAGCATACTGTGTGTGGTATATCCGTGTACACACTCCATGGCACTACCAAGAGTCAGGGACCTATAGGATACACATCTCCTCTCCCAAGAATACTTACCTATTTTATAAAATTACAAGAAAATTTTTACATTCACAATCAGTGAGCCTTGCACTTATAAGAGGTTTTATTTATCAACGGCAGAGCAACCAATCCCCAACTTGGGCACAATTCCAAAACAGAATTCTTATTGGATACTGGTTATAAAATTCCTTTTTAAGCTTGTTAATGTCCTATAAAATAAGAATATTTTCCTAATACTTAAGAAAAAACATTAATCACTCATAAGTTGATTTCATACTCAAAATAGTGGCTTAACATTTTGAAAAATGAAACCACCACCCCCCTTATGAACATCTAACATATTAACTAATCCCAGGCTTCAGGGGAGATGAATTAGTCCTCTGAATACAACCTGACCAAAGGTCTCTGGGAGTGAATTAAGTACTATAAGAGGTCAGTATTGCAAATCTGATAGAATACAGAACACCAACAGGAACTGATACTGATTCTAAGAAAAGATAATCTTCTCTTCAAAAAGGGATAAGTTAAAACCTTGCAGTTGTAGGCAGGAGGAGTGCAACAAGCAGGCAACAGACAGACAAAAGGAAAGGCCAAGCAAATGTCAGAGTTCTACTGGGAGATAGTGTCTATTGTCCTTTCTGCCCTATCCAAGTTGAAGGCTTATTTCCAGAAAAGGATTTCCCCCAGTGTTGGATGGAAGCGCATGGCAGGCAGTTGCTGCTTTGGTCAACTGGGTATGTGAAAGGAAGCATTTTCAGGTAACATGAAATAAACTGAAGTGACCCAGAGGGGATGGATCCCAACCAGATGAGTTATGGGATAGCAGGAAGCCAAAAAAGTTATAATTGTGAGGTTGAATTAGGAAAATAAATATATCTCTTGTTCACTTCTCTAACCTCTGGAAGAACTTTTTCTCTCCTCCTAACCTGAAGAGATTAACATACTGTACAACCCTGTTAGAGAAAAACCAACATACTGAACAGGGCAGAAATATACTAAAAACATTTTCTAAAAATCTTAACAAGTCACTTAAGGGAGAATACCTTTTTCTTCTGCACAGGGAAAGCAGAAGAGAAAGAATAAAAACAAAGGCCAAGGCCTCCTCTATCCACAAAAATAGAGAAAAAAAGGATACTGACCCAACTAAAATCCAAAATCATAAGCTCCCCTTAAAACAAATAGCCTTGCTCCATCAAAAGTATCCTGGGATTAATGTAAGTTAGTAGTCTAAGTTGTGTCACCAGGCTTTGATCATTAATGACGTATTAAAACAGAAAGAGGTGACTCTTCAGCCTTGGCTGTCGCTTCCCACCTGTCCTAACCTGGGAGGAAGGGAGCTATGATGACAGCTTGATGGGAAGGTCTTCCCCGTATTTCCGAAGCAGCTTCCGATGGTTGTGGTCCACTGACCACTGCTGGGGCAGGTGCTTGGGCTGCATGGAGTCCAGGAAGTGCTGACGCCAACGGCTCTCCAGCTGCATGAGGGAGCGCAGCCCACCCTGGGCGTGACACTGCACTACCTTTAGCCCGTGAGGAACATAGTTTTCATTGGAAATCCTGCCAAAACATGAAGTACAAAGGGTTTGAGACAAGTGAGCACGGGACAGTCTCATAGACAGTTTCAAATGCTGGGGGAGGTTGTTAGACTCCTAAAAGGTTAGTTATGTCAATGTTTTCAAAACATCCTCCTTCTTACTTCTGCACCTTTTATAGTTTGAACATAAACCTCAGAATCCCACAGGAGGCATTTAGGGGTCCTGAGCTCTACTTCTGCAAAGGTCACTGCATAATGCTCAACTCCCCACACAAGGGGCCCTGCTGTCCAGCTGAGCGTAGGCCCTTTATCTATTATAGGTTACCCAGTGCCCTTTCAAGTTACTCATTCTGAGCCATCCTCAGTATTTGTATGAAGCTGTTACAACAGCCTACACATTCCAGTTTTCATAACCCAGTGTAATACTGGAATGTAAAATGCAAGTTGGTACATTTCTTTTCTTTTCTTTTGTAGAGACAGAGTCTCACTTTATCACCCTCGGTAGAGTGCCATGGCGTCACAGCTCACAGCAACCTCCAGCTCTTGCTCTTGGGCGTAAGCAATTCTCTTGCCTCAGCCTCCCAAGTAGCTGGGACTATAGGCACTAACCACAACACCCAGCTATTTTTTTGTTGCAGTTTGGCCTAGGTCAGGTTTGAACCCGCCACCCTCCGTATATGGGGCCTGCACCCTACCCACTGAGCCACAGGCACGACCCAAGTTGGTACATTTCTTTTTTTTTTTTTTGAGACAGAGCCTCAAGCTATACCCCTGGATAGAGTGCTATGGCATCACAGCTCACAGCAACCTCCTGGGCTCAAGCGAGTCTCCTGCTTCAGCCTCCCAAGTAGCTGGGACCACAGGCGCCCGCCACAACGCCCAGCTATTTTTTGGTTGCAGCCGTCATTGTTGTTTTGGTGGGCCCAGGCTGGATTCGAACCCACCACCTTAGGTGTATGTGGCAGGTGCTGAGCCGGTAGATTTCTTTATTGCCTTCTTTCTCACAAAACAAAAGCCATACCACATTGATGAGATATGTTTTGTCACTACGAAATGCTACTGTGGTTGCTCAGTTGTGCAAATGATGCTGCTGAATGAGAAAATGAATCCCTGCTTCCTTCCTGACCAAACCAGAGAAGTCTTAAAAACTGCTCTAATGTCATGTGAACAGTGCTGTCACCTGCTGTGAATAAGGATGACCTTCTCTAGGAAATATCCTGCCTGCACAGACTCTTCCCTCTCTCTGCAACCACACCCCACTTTCAATCCTCTCTCCCAAGATCCCCACCAGTCTAGCAGTATCAGTGTCCTCTGGGTATCTGCATATATTATTTAGCTCATAAGCTTCCCACTAACTTGCCTATCTTCTCCAAACAGCTTTTCTTCTCAGTCCCAAGCCAGCATCCATCTATCCAATCCAGCAAGATAAATTTGTAAGAAAGGTCTGTGGCTTAAAGGTAAAGGTTTAGCTCTTTTAGGAAACATATTTGGGAATTAGTCAAAGGAGCCATTCTCACTTATTTTTAATATAATCTTGGCAAGTTACTGAGCTTTAACCTTAGAGAAGTGATAAAATTTAGAAGGCCACATGCAGTAGCTCATGCTTATAATCCTATCACTTTGGGAGACTGAGATGGGAAGATCACTTGAGGCCAGGAGTTCAAGACCAGCTGAGGCAACATGATGAGACCTTGTCTCCTTTGCAAAAAATTTAAAAATGACCAGAAGGTATGGTGGCACACACCTATAGTCCCAGCTACTCAGAAGGCTGAGACAGGAGAATTGCTTGAACCCAGGAATTCGAGGCTGCAGTGCACTATGATCATGACACTACACTCCAGCTTGAGGACAAAGTGAAACCCTATCTCTAAAATATATAATATCAAAAAACTTAGGAAATAACATAGATTCTATAATCTTTTTTTTTTTTTTTTTGAGACAGAGCCTCAAGCTGTCCCCC